TAAAACTAGGATATGAAATAAATAGTAGAGATTACTGGGAAAATTTTGTATTTCGTGTTGAAAATAATTTAACCAGCCATAAACAAATAGGTAACGACCCTAAATATAGGAATTTTAAAGTTCAACTAGCATTGCATAAAGAAAATCGTGCATCATTAATTATCCAGCGAACATATCGTTTATGGAAAAAATAAATTAATTCTGCTAAAATAATCCAACATACAGTAATTAAATGGCTTTATCGACCTGATGGATCATTTATGAAACAAGCCAAAAATCGATATTATCTAAATGCAAATAAACATAGTTAACTTATCCTAGACATCAATATATGTTTTGAGTCAGAGACTCGTGGCTTTGCCACTTCGTGCGACCTAGCAAACAAAAATTTTTTTCGCTATATATATAACAATGTCAAATACAATTACTATAAAAGAACCCGAAAATCCATATTATATCGGCAATACAAAAGAAGATCTCGATATATTTATAGATATATATTTTAGATTATATCTATTTTCTATAGGATTAAATAATATAGATAAGAATATAGAAGGAGTTTCTGATTTATTAAAAAATGCTCTTATAATAAAAGTACCTGACCAGTATGAATATGCTATAAAAAGATTAAAAGAAATAGGGCCGATTAAAACTATATATCTTGATAATTTAAAAACAATAATCCATTCAGATTAGTCACGTTATGTAATCTGTATGACCTACGATTTCTATAGAAGTTCGTGGAACATTCTTGTGTTAGTATAGATGATCGTTATACGTATTTTTTTCGTTTTATTTTAGCCTGAAAATACTTCTATACCACATATGCTTTTCGATAAGAACATGCTAAACGAAACTTAAAAAGGATATAAGGATAAAGAGCCCGTTGTTTCCTATCAGCGCTGTTATCAGAGAATGGCAGTTATAGGACTTTGGAATCTCCGCAATTCCGAGATCTTCGTTGCGTTAACTGACTTTGTTGCGATCGTCGAGCTAAAGGGGTTTCATTCATGCGTCTATGACTTAATGCTCTGCATATTCACACCTTGGCATTAATTGCATATGATAACACTTTCTATGAAGGCTAAATCATAACAGGTTTGAGGATCTTGCTATGATAAGAATCAAAGATTTGGTTGATAAAGACGAGTTTCAGATTTCGTGGTGTAATATAAATAAGTAGGTTCTTGTACCTTATATCAGCTGGTTGAAAAGACTTCATTTCTTACCCTCTCAATTTTTTATCAGGTATATCGAGTCTGGATATTTCGAGGCAATTATACTTTCTATCAAGTCAATATTGTTTATCGTGCGCTGTAAAAGCAAAAATTTATTCACTATACTTCTCCATATATAGGACTTAAAATGACGAGTAATAAGACCACCACGGATGATGCATCCACCAATGCTGATTTCATTAATCTCACGTATCAAGTATATGGTGTGCCAGACAAAAGTTTCGTAATTAAGATTTCCAAGAATTCGAAGGTTAAATCTCTCCAATCTATGGTTAGGAATGAGTTAAATTCTGAATACGATTCTTCGATCACGCTAGAACTCACCATAAATGATCCTCAAAGTGAAGAAAAAAGAATAATGGTATCGGGGGATAAGATTTCCAAATATTTCGATGAGAATTTTTCTGAAGATGACGTCCACATCATTGTAATCCCCGTTCTCCCAGATGATTAGAATATTTTTATTCGTATTCGCACCATGTAAAGCGATGTATATTCGCAAATTTATTTTTGTATCTGCCTTACTACGGGCCATGATTTTTGTTTCGTAATAATAAAGCCCAAAGGGGGGACCTAAAGGGTCATGTTTAATGCCACGTGCATTCCATTATGCGTATTATGATTTATTGCAATCGCTACTAATCTATTGCCTTGATTTAATACGAAATCTGGTCACCAGTAAAGAACCAATACCACGGATTTATGTTGCACGAATCCGTAGATTGATATAATTGTATTATCGCCGATATATTACAGGTTAGATCCACATTTTTTTCGTGCGACCCAATTTCTCACATATACACCCATTGGTATTTTTTCATGTTTTTCGCCGATCATTAATTTCACTAAGAATGAACGAATTTACCTATCACTGGGAATCGAGCTATCCCTCCATACACAACTTCGGACGTAACGTCAATTCGAGTTGGGCTGTAGTAATTATTGGCGATATATGGGCAGGTATATGAAGGTGAGTAGACGAAAAATTATTTGGTTCTGAGCATTATGTCTACCAATATTTCATGCCTCGAAACTTTTGCCCTAAATATTCTTAAAGATTCATCTCCGGAAAAAATTGCAAGTGATATTAATATTCCCGAACTAGGCCCATGCTCGTTATGCAATCAAGAGCTTTTTTTGTTCGAAATAAAAAACCCGATTACCATACTTGTCTGTGGACATATATACCACCGTGACTGCATCGAAAATTATATCAAGAAACGTTCAATATGCCCAAAGCCCGATTGCAAGAAAGAAGTGGAGTCTACGATTGATGCTACATCTGGAAGTCAGAATACTAACGATTTGATGGATATATCCCCCTCATTATTTACTGACCCCCTCTTTCCAAGTCCGTCTAAAAAGCGTGTTAGTGAATCTATCAGCAAATCATCCAGTAAGAAACTGAAGAAGCAGGTTGGAAAGGAAGATTCTCCTACGTTACAAAGACTAATCAAAGAATTGGGAACCGATATTCCTGAGAAAACCATGCCGACTGAACCAATATTTGAATCGAATGAGAACTCGGTCAATTTTCTAGGTTTGTACCAAAATATAATCAATGCCGAAGAAATTAGTAAAAAAACGACGCAAGAAGTCATCCATCACTATTTCTATTTGGGAAAAGCATTGGAGGATCGCTTCAATCACTACAGAAAAACCAATCCCAAACGCACAGCTCAAGGGTTAGTTAATAATGAGGTTAGAACTCAGATTCCTGAATCAGTTAGTAAAAGCTTACTTCGAAAGACAAAGGAAAGGGCCCAGAAGATTTATGATATCTTTAATGAGATCGGGGTTGATAAAATCAAACGAATTCGGTCTTTTACAGCTACAACAATAGCAAATATATCCCAAGATGACATTGATTTTGTATTAGCCAAACTTTCGGTAATTTATGTGATTTTAAAAAATAGAGGCAAAGCCTCGTTACTCTGTAATAATAATAATCCATTGTAAGGTCACGTGACGTTGTGACAAGCTGTCACAATCTATGAAATAAATTTTAATCGTGTTAGTATAAATGTTCTAATTTTTTATTTCGTGTTTCGTTAATAATTGAGTGTGAATTCGATCGTTGGCTGTGATTTATGCATGTGACATGCTTGTTACAAAAGCAGATTTTATTTTTTAATTATACGATAATCTATGCCTTTGTTGTTATCTCGATTCCAATTTCATTTGGATTGAAAATTTGTACGAATTGAGTATGGATCTTTTCCCATTCTTCCATAAGATTATCGAGCCATTCAGTGCTTAAACCGCTTTTTAATATACCGCGACGCGATAACTCTTCACCAACTAGCCTCTCTCGATCTGTTAAAAATTCACGATATTTTCTAGGGTCTTCTTTTCTTTCTATTCCACCACGATAGAAACATATATCTCTTTTCAAATCCCCACGAAAACATCCCATGGCCCACCCATTTTTCTCAGCCTCTGTAATGATCGAAAATTCTTTGGGATTTATTCCATGTTCGATGGCATACTGATAAAGGTGATTTTTGTTTGGATTAGTCTTGGAAATTGAGGAGGTGTAAATTTTGTTCGGCACTACTATCTGAGTTTCCGGCAAACTTTGTACAGCAATTATAACTTTCTTCTGATCGATACGAAATGAACAATTGAGATAATAATGATCATCTTTACCTAGATCGCTCCAATC